CGGCGCGACCGCCGGTGGCTCCCGCGGCGGCCGCTCTGGTGCCTCCCGCGGCGGCGGCGGCGGCGCGACCGGCGCTGCCTCCCGCGGCGGCCGCTCCCGCTCCCGCTCCCGCGCCGCCGGCCGCCCCCGCTCCGGCGCCGCGACCTCCGGCGCCCGCGCCCGCCGCTCGAGCGCCCGCCGCTCCGGCGCCCGCGCCCGCGATCGCGCCGCGCCGCCGCGGCTTCGTCGACTACGACGCCATCTGGAGCCGGGCCCTCGCCTCCCCCGGCGACAAGGCCGGGTGCGCCTACGGCCGGCCGCTGGTCCACCGGTGCAAGGACGCGTGCGAGCTCCAGTGCGACAAGGAGCGGGACCGGCGCGTCTGGGCCTACGACCTGCCGGCGCCCGCGGGCCAGTCCGGCGCGCCGAAGCGCTACGTCGCGGCGACCGTCGACGAGCTCGAGCGCGCGCTCCGCCGCGTCGCGCCCGGCGACCGCCACTGCTACGAGGTCATCGACGCGCGGCGGCCGTGCTGGCCCTACTTCGACCTCGAGTTCTACCGCGGCGGCGCGCTCAACGCGGGCGTCGACGGCGACGCGCTCGCCGCGCGCGTCGTCGACGCGGCCGTCGCGGAGCTCGAGGCGGCGGCGGCGCGCGAGGACCCGCCGGCGGCGCTCCGCGTCGAGGCCGTCGTCCTCGCGTCGGAGCGGCCGGCCAAGTTCAGCCGCCACGTCGTGCTCCGCGTCTTCCGCGGCGACGGCGCGCCGGCGCCGCTCGCGGGCTCGCGCGCCGCGGGCGTCCTGGCCGCGCGCGTCTCCGCGGCGCTCGGCCCCGCGGGCGTCGTCGAGGCCGAGGGCCGCAAGCCCACGGCCTTCGTGGACGCGGGCGTCTACACGCGCGCGCGCTGCTTCCGCCTCGAGGGCTGCAGCAAGCTCGGCGCGGCGGCCGGCTCGGCCCTCGCGGTGTCCGGCCGCGCCGCGCGCGGCGCGCCCGGCCCGGTCCCGGCGGCGCCGGGCCTCCGCGGTACGCTCGTCGCCCCGGTGCTCCTCGCGGCCCCGCGGTGCCTCGGCCTCGACGCGCCCGCGGCGCCGGCGGCGCCGGCGCCGCCGGCGACGGCGCCCGCGCCCGCGGCGCCGGCGCCGCGCGCGCCGGCGGGCCGCGTCGACGCCGCGGCCTGGGAGCGGGCCTGGCGCGGCGCGACGGCGACGCCGCTCCTCGACGTCGTCTCCCTCGACCACCCCTACATCACCGTGTCGACGCGGGGCGCCGGCCGGCCGCCGCCGCCGCTCGACGCCGTCTTCGACGCGGCCTTAGCGTCGCTCCGCGGCGCGGCCGGCGGCGAGCCGCGGGCGTCGCGCTGGGCCTACAAGGCCGCGGCGCACCCGTCGGAGCGGCTCCTGCACGTGACGCTCGGCGGCGCCGTGGTCTGCGCGTCCAAGGGCCGGCACCACAAGTCCCAGAAGGCCATCGTCACCGCGGACCCGGTCTCCGGCGCGTGCTGGCAGCGCTGCTGGGACGCCGCGGACTGCTCGACGGTCGCGGCCAACGCCGCGGGCGGCGCCGTGGCGCTCGCGAACAA